CCCATATTACCGAGCTGTAGAACTTTGTCGGGAACGGGCCTGCGAGGGCACCCGTGCCGGAGTCGCAGAGCGTCTTCGAGAGCCCGCCGACAATAGCAAGGACCATAATGGTGGCCTTGGCACCAGCCTCCGACGTGTGCCCAAGCGCGGCAGGGATCAACGCGAGCATCTCCCCAAACGGCATGATAAGTCCACAAATAAGACGCGGACGTAGCGGAATGCTCCTGCCCAGGGGCGTCAGCATGAATGTCTCGCACACGACCTGCATGCCAAACACAGCTGCATTGTAGTACGTCAGCACATTAATCCAGAAGCTCGGATCTTCGGCCTTGGCGTTCTTGTCGCCCTGAGCGTACTTGTAGAACTCGGTGATGAAGGACGGGGCCGCAGTGATGGCGTTGGATACCATCATGATCGACACTCCAAAGAACAGAAAGGTGAGATAGACGACGAACTCGGACCATGAGTAGAAGCCGAGCGCTACCAGGCTCGCGCCGGGTGTGGTAACTTCGCGGCGGGCGGGTGAAACAGAGCAAACAAAACACGGGAGAGCAAGAAGAATAGTTACAGGGGCGCCCTCCCAAAGGCTCACGCACGCACGCACACGCAGACGGCCAAGCGCGCGCGCGTGTGTAAGGGAGGTTTGTGGGGCACGCGCCGCGCCGCCCCTCCCAATAGCGGTCGCCGGCGAAACAGGCAGGGGGTAGGGGGGAACAAGAAAATAAAGAGAAGCCAATGAGGAAAAATAGGGCCCACAGCGGGGCAATTCACACACAAACACAAACTGAGAGACATATAAAACAAAAAACAAACAAAATAAAACAATAACAATGAGGCATACGATGACTCGCAAAGGAATGGGCATGATGAATCGTTTGTTTGTTTTCTTTGTTGTTGTTGTTGTTTTTTTCCGTTCTGTGTCCTTTTCTTCGTTCGGTCGCCTATCCCCGGCAACCCCCCTCACGCATTCCTGATAAATAATAAACCTACCCTGCTCCCCCTTCCCCTTCTCTGTTTTTTCCTTCCCCTTTTTTTCTTCTTCATTTTTTCGCTTGTTTGTGTCTACGTTTTCGTTTGAACCCATTTCGCAAGTGGCGGAAACACCCCTCACCGCAAACTCCCTCCCCTCCCACACACACACACACACACAGGGGCAGAGATGTAAATATACACACACACACAGAGAGAGAGAGAGAGATCAATGAAAAGCAGGCATATATAATATTATATTATATCATATATATATACACACAGATCGACTTTCACGCGCACACACACACCCGTTCCGTTTTTTTATATATATATTCTCACTTTCTTTGCCCTTTCCCCGCTTTTTTTTTTCTACTGTTCCCTCCACTCCCTCCCGTTGTCCGCAGCTCCCCCCCCCCCCGTCTACTCGCGCCGCACCGTTGCTTTTTTGTTTTTGTGTTTCTTCTTATCAATTGCCGCGGTGGACGGCGGCAGCGGCAAGTGGCGCCGCAAAGCCGCGGCAACAGCGAGCAGCAAAAAGTCCCCGGCGCCCGTGCAAAACGAAAAAAAAGTATGAAGAAAAGACGCATCAAACCCAACCAAAAGAGGCACCGCGGCAAGTGAAAGGAGGAGAGGGGGGAGGGAGGGAGCGGGAAGCGGCGAGGGTAAAGGGCCGATGGCGCTCGTCTCCCGCGCCGCCCCCTCCCGCCCGCGTCTCGCAAGATTCCAAGTTACCCCCTCAAGCAAGCAGGCAAAACCCCCAACACTGCGGGGGGGGGACACGGGCACACACACACACGCACACACACCTTCACCCCCATCCCACCCCCCTCTCTCTCTCTCTCTCTCCGTTCCTCCCCTCCGTCTTCCAGCCATCCCGTTCCCGAGGCGAGAGGAAAGCTCCTCCGACGCACCCGTCACTTCACACACACGCACACACGCATATATACATTCATATATATAACAAGACAAATATGGTGCGATGTTCCGTTACTGCATCCATTAGCCCAAGACACACCAACGCGCATGCGGCTCTGTGGCATAATGCACATGGCGCAAAGCAACACTCCCCCCCCCCTCGCTCCCCAGTAAACAAAAAAAAGACTGAAACAAAACAAATGAAAGAAACACAGCCAATTCGTTCGCCCACTCTTGCGCTCTCTCCCTGCTCTTCGGCTCAGTGAGGCTGAGCGGTTTGCGTGTTCGGCAGGCTCATTTATTGTGGCCGCTTAAAAGAAGAAATCGTCGGGGTTTTCCTTGGCGCGTAATTGCTGCTCGATCCACTCAACCTGGGCATCGTCGAGGCTGTCCGCGTAGGCGCTACTGTTCATCTCCCAGAGGTCATCGCTGCTGTCGGCGTTGAAGCCGCTGCGGCGCCCGGCCGCGCCCCGCTCCCGCGGACCGGCGGGGCTTCCTCTGCCGCTGCGCGTCGTCAAGGCGAGGGAGGCCGTTGAAGAGGCGACCCGATGCAGGAAGCGTCGCGTGGCGGCGGAGGGGCCCTCCAAGTCCCAAAATCCCCCCGCGTAGTGGTTGGCGTCGAGATCCGTCTGCAGCGTCGCGGCGGCGTCAGGGGTGGGCAGGTGTTGGAGTTGCTCCACGCAGACGGCGTCGTCATCATCGTCGTCGTCGTCGTCGTTCTCGTCGTCGTTGTGGTCGTGGTCGGCGACGCTGCTGCTGCTGCCGCTGCTGCCGCGCAGTAGGTGCAGCATGACGGCTTCGTCCATCGCCTCGGCGTCCGTGAAGGGGACGCGGCGGTGCCGAACATCGTCGGAGAAACTCTCCTCTCTCAGGTCGGAGGGGGAAAAAATGGTGTCAGAGCTGCTACCTCCGACCCTAAGCGCGTTGCGAAGCAGATGCAATTGTTGTTGCTGTTGTTGTTGTTGCGGCCTGTGCAACGTGGTAGCCGCAGGCGAAGGTGAAAGCAGTGAGGTCGACATCTGCAACGAGTCGCCACCGCCAAATGACGCCGTAGAGGAGACATGCGGCACGGTAACGAAAGCGATGTTGCCCGACGAGGTGGAGAGGCGGACGCCCGTCAACTCGCTGGCCAGCGGGGTGCGGGGAAACTCTGGGGCTGGCGTGTGGGCCGGCCGAGGCTGGCGACCGCCCACCTCCGGCGGCTGCGCATGCTGAGGCGGAAAAAGGCTCCCCACTTCGGACGCCTCCGCTCCCGACGTCAATCTACTCAGGGCGGTGGCCGCGCGCGGCCGAAACGGCGTCGCGTGGACCGACAACCCTCGCCGGCTCAGTGACGCACGTGAAGTTTCTGCACTATCCTCGCTGACGCCAGCAGCAGCAGCAGCAGCCGCTGCCGCGGCAAGGACAGTGGCCGCCGCGGAGGTGGGCCGCACCCCCGCTGGGGATCCACAAGCCGCCGAGGAGGAGGCCACTGCTACCGACGAAGCCGCCTCCCGGGGCCGTGGCGCAGGCAGCACGTCATCCGCCGCACGCGCCGCCGCGGAGAGCTCGTTCCGGGCCCAACCCGTTTGCGCGGCCGCGCCCAGCCCCACCTGCGCCGGCTCGGAGGGAAACGTGTGGAGCCCCTTTGTCCTGTGGGGGGGTGCTTTGCGTGTGGGCGTGGGCGCCGTCAGGGCCCGCGCGACGCCGGCGGCGGGGCGGAGGGAACACGCAGCGCGAGGCACCGCCTGCCACCGCGCCGCCCCAACCGGAGGCCGCAAACACTCACGCATCACGCCGACGGGCGAAGTTGACCGCCGCGTCGCTGCCGCGCCCCGCCGCCTCGACGGAAGCGATGAGGGCGGCATGGCCAGCGGGCGTTTTATTGCACAAGTGGGGGGGGGGCGGTAAACGAGGCGATGTGGGGACGCCAGCGTCACGACCGGCAAAAAAAAAAGGGTGCGAGGAACAAACAAACAAACAAAAAAGAAAAACGAGAGTCGGTGTTTGCGAGATGCGGCGGCGGCGGCGGTGGCTGCTTGTGGAGGTGAGCCACCGAGACAAACCCCCCAGCGGGCGCAGTCTACGCTTTGGGTGCCTCCGTTGCTTTTCCGTCGTGGGCGGCGTGGACCTTCGCCTCCTGCGCTGCGTGGGGGACGGACGAAGTGTGAGGCTGCAGGGCGAAAGTCACGAAGAGCAAAATAAAATAAAAACAAAAAACTAGAAACTAGGCAAAAAAAAAAGGTCGTCAACGACAGGAAGAAGAAGGGCAGACGAAACTCAAGAGTGGGGGGGGGGGGGGAAACGAACCAGCAACACATACACAGCAGGCACAAAGTATTAGAAGGCGGGAAAGCAACAAACAGCTAGCAGGGGAAGTGGTTGAGAAGGTGCGTGTGTGTGTGTGTGTGTGGTGGGGAGGCGGGCGTGGAACGCGCAGCACACTCACGCCCCGGTGCGGATTACACTGTCGGCCTTCCCTCCTCCTTCCCCCTTTTATTTCTCGTTTCGTTCGCCCTGTAATTTTCTCCATTTGTGCGGCTCCGGTCCTTTGTGTGCCTTGTTTTT